TTCTACTCCTGTAAAGATTTACACCCTCGGAAACCCTGTACAGGGTCGCTATGGGTCGGAACCGACTCGAAGGCACTTAACAACAACAACAACCTGTGTTGTTGGCCAAGATAGTATTGATTCATGTAATCATCATTTTAGACAGGAAGAGTTTTTTTATTTGTGAGTGTTGACTGCCACACAAATAGCCCCTTAAAGAAATGAATATAAACCGCCTTCATGGGGAAATGTAGATTTGGTCATTTAAAATACTACTGGCTTTTCAGAATTAAAATACATCCGGCTTGACTTCCTGTGGCTCTAGCATTTTTAAAGATTTTTACTTTCTTAAAAGTCATTGCCACAAATTTACATTTTTGTGGGTTGTTAATATGTAAAATATATTAGGTTAAACATCGCTAATATATTTGAATAAAAGTGAAATTTCCTAGCAAGATCATGTAATGTATAATAAGAGTTCCCTTATTCCTTAGCCTAAACTTACAGATTCTAAGTGATTGTATAATCCGTTGAAATTTAACTTTGATGAACAGCTACTTGTCATAGTTCAAAACCACATTTTTAGTTTCTGTGTTTATTGAAGTTTCTGCCAATAAGCGCCCCAATAAAATAGAATTAGATTCAAATTTTTAAAATAATTTTATTCTCTCCTTCATTTGTATTTATTTAAGTTTCATTGTTATGGGACTATTCCATGATTTATCTAAATTTGGACTTTAAAAAGGATAACCTTTGGTAAAAATTATTTTGCTGCTTTCCCCCCAGAAGTTAAAAAAATTGCTAAAGTTTGCTTGTTTATGGTTATCATTTGTGTGAGGTTTGTGTTTTGTTAGACTTTTTGGTTTTTGTTCGATAAGAAATACAGACTCATGTAGATGTTTGTATGATTAATTAGGAAGAAATAGATTTGTCTCATAGAAAGAGTAAATGGCAGTTCTGCATTTTTTTTTTATTTTTTTGCCCTCTGTTGGCATGTAAACTACATTCCTACATTATATTTGGGTCTATTGTGGTCCCAAAAGAAGTCATAATTAAATGCATATGGTACAGATTACATGGAAGCAAAATGGGGGCTTTAGTTCTGAACTCTATGGTTTCTGATTTTGTGTTCTTCATTTTGATAAACAGTTGCCCATTTTAGAAGCTTATTAGTCATACTTCTGTTCTAAAAGTAAGGAAAAAACAAGGGGGGGGTACATAAGTAGAATTGGTAAAGAACTCTCCATGTATCTGAAATTGTACTTTTCATTTTCAAAGATTAACAAGTAATCAAAGATATGAATGTAACTTAGTTTGTATTTTTTTATATATAAAATTTGTAGCTTTCTGCCATTTCCTCTTTATTGCATTTCGGTGAGGGTGTTCATCTGGTAACATGTATAACTGAGTTGGCATTTTAGGACCAACAGCTTTAAATGCAACATCTGCATTCCTCAGTTTTGACATGCACTTGCTTCTGGCCAGGGCAGTGATTATTCCCGGGTGGAAAAGATTGATGGTCGAACGGAAGATGATAGCTGTATAAACTGGCATCTAGATCACGCTTCTGACGCCACTCTACAAACTCCTACTATAGCGTAAACCCAGCCAGAGGCAATGTTCTGGAAAGCCTAAACTTTGTCACTGATGGCATGTTTACTGAAGAGACAGTGTAGGTCAGATATAGTTAATGTATACATGTTTGATCTTTTGTCATTCCAGTTTGAGATAATTTACTATAATCATTTTCACACTTTTTAGCACCTGTTCAAAGAAAACTTTTCATAGATGTATATACAGGTACAACAGCAGTTGAGCTGGAGGGCTAAGAAGATGGTGGTTCCATGAAGAGCATATTTTAGCAGCTAGGATAAGCAGTGCTAACCACAAGGTGGCAGTTCAAACCCACCAGTTGCTAGTTGGAAAACTGTACAGGGTCGCTATGAGTTGGAATGAACTTGATGACACTAAACAACTTAGTAAACATGCTTTTGCCATTTTAGTTGTCTTCTTGGGGTATCAAGAGCACTTATTTTATGTGTATATTTTCCTGTACTTTCCTTTAACATAGCCAAGGCTGATCCAGTGTTACAGCAGGAGCTAAGAACTACTTTTATACTCGGAGTCCTGGTATGTGTGGCATGGTAGCATAAGGACTGGACTGCAAGGTTAGCAGTTCAGACTCACTCCTTGGAAAACCGTTACAGGGTTGCTAGGAGTCAGAACCGACCATGGCGTTTAACAACAACTTTTATACTCAACTTACAAATTTTTTTAAAATTTGCTTCTTACATCTTCAGTGCTCCTTTGTCATGACCATTAGGCATGACCATTAGGCATTTCAACAGCATAAATGTTGAAAGCTAGTAAAATGCTTGATCAGCAGAAATTAAAACTTAAAGGGTTAGAAAGAGGACACTATTTTAGGAACAGATCCCAGCAATCACAAGAGACTTCTCTGTTTCTACCCTTGCATACCTGCTTCTGACAAGAATCTGCAATTAGGAGCTTTTACAGAGAAACTTTCCCTGGCAATCTGTAGCTAGCCATTCCTTGCACTGGAACTCCAATGACTATTTCTGCCAGAGCGTTCCCTAAATACTGATCTAATCACACAACCCTGGGAACTGCTCAGGTGCTACAGAGATGGCATTGCTGTTAAATGGCGTTGGGTGGGTTCTGACTCAGAGCGACCCTGCATAGGGTTTCTGAGGAAAGGTGGTTGGTTTTAAACCCCCAATATTGTGGTTAGCAGGCCAATGCTTTTCCTGCAGCGCCACACCAGAACTTTGCAGAAACTGCCTAGTGTTGCTTAAACAAATCAACCCCCATTAAAAAGACCTGGGTTTGTAGGACTTTTAATGGGGATGGTGATTTTAATGACTGAGACCATGTAAGCGTTCTGTATAGTGCCTGTCACATAGAGCACGTGTATGGACTTTTCCCTTGTCTTACTGTGCACTGGTATTGGCAGCCCTTCCCCTGCAGAGAAGGAGTTGACCTTGAAATACTGTTTTTTACACTTTTAAGTTGAACCACTGCTACTGGTCTGACAGTTTGTTGTACTGTGGTGGCTTGCGTGTCACTGTAATTCTAGAAGCTATGTCATGGGCACTTTAAATACCAGCAGGATCACCCATGGTGGACAGGTTTCAGTTGAGCTTTCAGACAAAGACTAGGAAGAAGGAGAAACAGACTACTGAGTATTTAGTCACCGAAAACCTTATGAATAGCAGTGAAACACTGTTAGCGTCAGAATACTGGATACTGTCACATGATGAAGAGCACCAGAATATTATCAGATACAGTGCCAGAAGATGCATCCCTAAGGTTGGAAGGCACTCGAAATGTGACTGGGGAAGAGGTGCCTCCTGTTTAGTTTAGTGGACCGTGATGATACGGATAGAGTAAAGCCTTCAAGACCTTCATTTGCTGCTGATAACGAAGATAAACAGTTGTAAATATCCATTAATAATTGCAACATGGAATGTATGAAGTATGGTGGTTGTGTGCTGTGGAGTCTGTTCCAACTCATAGCAACCCTGCTTAGGGTTTCTGAGGCTGTAAGTCTCTATGGGAACAGAAAGCCTCACTTTTCTACCATGGAACAGCTGGTAGTTTCAAACTGCTGACCTTGAGGTAGCAGCCCAAGTCGTAACCACTTCACTATCAGAGCTCCTTATACAAAGTATGAATCTAGGAAAATTGGAAATACGCAAGAATGAAATGGAACACATAAACATCGATATCCTAGGTATTAGCAGAAATGACTGGTACTATGTTCAATGTGACATACATGGTTTACTATGCCAGAAATGACAAATTGAAGAGGAATGGCGGTGTATTCATTAGCAATAAAGGACATACGGAGATCTGTCTTGGAAGTACAATGCTGTCTGTGATAGGATAATATCAATATGCCTACAAGGAAGACCAGTTAATACCACTATTCAAATTTACACACCAAACACTAAAGTCAGTGATGTTGAAACTGATGAATTCTACCAACATTTTTAGTCTGAAATTGATCAAACATGCAATCAAGATGTATTGATAATTATGATTGGGATGCAAAGGTTGGAAATAAAGGGGAAGGATTGGTAGTTGG